TAAAAACAGTCCTCTTAAATATATATTTTTTAATTTGTCTTGAGATTTAAAAAAAAAAGCTAAAGAAGCAATTTTAAAGTAATGTCCAAATTTGACGCAACTTAAAAGCATCTATGTTTTAAAAGACTGAATTTTATTGTGGTGATGCCCTTTGTCATTACACATAATACCTTTGCAGCAATTTAAAAGTTGTCCAGCATTTATTCCAGCTTTGGACAGGTTGATAGGCTGAAAATAGTTGGATTGCATCAGAACAATCAAACCAGAGAAACCTGCTCTGAGTGTGGGAAAAAAAAAAAAAAAAAAAAGACTGATTATGATGAAGCCAAGGCCGTGAAACTGGGCTCCCTGCTGATCCTGCAGAGCGATGAGACAAGGCCCAGTTCTGGCTAATAAGCCTGAGCAAGTCCAGCCAAGAGGCCTTCGCCTTGTAGCCTTATAACACCTATTATCATCTTTCCTACACGACATCCACGTGTTTCCATTTACAGGCTATTGTTTCAGCTGTGAAAAGGTTCTTCTTTGTGAGCGCGCTGACACCTCTCGTCTTGTGTCTGTCAAAGATGACAGTCTTTAATAGTTTTGCAGAGGTCAGCCTTCTGCCTCGTGTGGATAGCTGCACGGGAAGCGACAGGGTACCTGAGGACTGTCGAGCTGCGCTGACATTCTGCATGAAGAGAAGCATGTTAATGTTGCTGCTATTCTGTAGCCTGTAATTGCCTGTAAAGCCAGATAATAGCACAAGGTACCGCATTGCAAAAGCAGGAATGGAGACTTGGACATCCCCACAGAGGACTGGTACTGATGAGCATGAGCCATTAAGGAAGAAAAATATTGATTCTGATAGTTTTTGTGTATGTGTCCAAATTATATTGTACAGTAGCTGACAGATGCATTTCAAGTGTAGTTGACACCACAGAAAAATGTATTTTTGTTCATTTAAAGCGATCCAGTCATGGGTGGAGGAGCCCTGCTGGTGGTATCTGTGGTGGTTTGGCTGGGCCGTGACCTCGGTGGATATAATGCTGCGGTGGAAAATGTCCTGTCACTTGATGGAGGAGCTGCCTGTAGCAGCAGGAAGGAGTGTGGCGACAGGGGCCGTGTGTGTTAACCTCTTTCCTTGTCACTTTTTTTCTGTCTTTCTCTCCACCCTCCTCCCTCCCCGTTCTTGTCCCCACCATTTTTTCCCTCCTCTTTCTCTCTCCATCCTCGTTCCCCCAGACTCCACTCCATCTCCCTACACTCCTCCGTGACAAATTACTCCTGGCGGTTGATTTGTTGGTTGTCAAAAGTGCTCCTTGTGCTGAAGGTGTGCAGGAAAAAAAGGTGCTCCAACCCCCCAAGCTGTCGTCATCACCTGTCCCATCCCCCTCCCTAACCTTTTCCACGTGCCGTGTGCTCTCACCAGTGCTTGGCGTTGGGTTGTCTCTTGGAAAATTGACATTCTGTCTCAAAAGATCTCATTACATTAGACTTTGGAGAAACCGTTCAGGCTTTATATTTCCACCTTTTCTTTTGACAAAGCTGTTGTGATGTGTAGCAGCTTGTGTCAGGGGAGGGGCTTGTGGAGAGTCTTTTGTTATGTATGGAGGAGGGATGAAAGAAGAGCAAAAGGAGTTTATGGGAGGACTGAAAAGTGTCGGTGTTTGTGATGGCTGCCTTCCGTTGTAAAAAATACAAACAGCAACGTGTGTACTTCATAAAACAATCTAAAGGTTTAATGAAATAATCAGTTAAACATGAGTTGGTTTACAATAGTTTTAATGTGTAACATGATTTTTAAAAAACACTGTGAAAAAAACTTATTTTGTTCAAAAGTCTATGGTTTAATTTTTTTATTGACGGGACACACAACACAAGGTTTTCTCTGGCCCTATGTAGTGCAGAGTGGCACTTCCCCTCCTCCACCTGTTGCTGTGAGCTGTCAGTCAGCAGTATTATATTATAGTACAACATTATGTATAGT